TTACTATACAAGTATACAATAACCGATTTTATATATAAATAAATATAAATTTATCGGCATCGATCGATGCTTTGATATCTTGAATAAAACCCATAGCTTGTTTGGTCCGGCGAAAGAAAGAGTTTGTCGTTCTTCTTTGTTGTTTATTGTGGGGTTGAATACAGGTTGATATAAACAAACTAAAATCCAATTATATTTGACTTGGGGAAACGGAGCCAAAAAAATCATACATTTGATTTCACTGCTATTCATACTAATTCTAAGTGTTCGTCAAAACTTATTTGATGGTATTACATTCAAATATTTGAAAGCATGCTCATGTTTATGTAAACAACGGTACTGGGCCGTTTAAAATCCGGTTATACCGCGGATGACATGGGAAATCTCAACCCAAAGAACCTCGAACAAACGTCTTCTGTAAATTTAATGGTCTCTCAGTACCTTAAAGATATTTTTCAAATGTCGTATGGTTTTTTAAAACATTATAAAAATCTAAAGAGAATCACGTAAAACATATCATTTTTTATTGAGTTCATAGTTATTTTATTATATTTGTAAAGAATTCATGCTGTAAAGTGGCTGCGTCAATGTCTTTTCAATATAGATTCTATGTATTATTAATGGCCCGTTATGTCACAGAAATGCAATCAATTTTATTTCTAAAAATCTTTTTTACTTTTGTTATCTTGTTACAGTTTTCAAAATTATACTATTTTCCCATATACATGAATGCTCTGCCAGCAAATGGTATGATTATAGTTAATTAGTCAGTATTATGTATGGAAATCAAAATACTACATTGTTGTCATTTTGTTACCTTTACAACACATTATTGCACATTCAGTGCTACTTAAACATGTTACATACTCTAAATTTATTATTGAAACATTATTAAGCACATGTTTGACATTTCTAAAAAAATAAAAGATGTGGATTTCTAAGGCATAATGTGCCTTTAACAGATAATTTTGACAGAATATGTGATAGCTTGATATAAAATGAATAAATGAATGAATGAATGAATGAATGAATGAATGAATGAATGAATGAATGAATGAATGAATGAATGAATGAATGAATGAATGAATGAATGAATGAATGAATGAATGAATGAAATAGAATGAAATGAATAAAATAAATAAATAAATAAAGTGGCAATACACCAATTAAAAACGTGTTTAAAATTTCTTTAAAAAGAAATCGCTGTTCTGAACAATAAAATTTTAGGAATTAAAGTGAAATATATGTTCACTTAAAAAAATTATATTCTAATTTTAAGATCAAAGTCAGAATGTTTCTAAAATTAGAACTATGTACACAATTTTATATGTGATAGATAATTAAATATAATTAACATGGATTTTGCACTCGTCTGTATAAATCAAATTTTCAGTCTGCAAAGATGACATTTATCAAAATGAACATACATATTTTCTTTATGACAAAAGATTTGATTAAAGAAGCCTTTTAAAAGTGAGAATAATGCCGTATATTATATACCCATTATTGGATTAAACACGATATCTATTTAATATAAACCTCATGAAAGACGTTGGTATTCATATATCAATCTGCTTTTATCAATTAAGACTAAAATCAATAATCACAAACTGATTTCTTTTTGACTCCTTTTCAATTTGAAAGGTAAATTAAGAATAGAGAACATGATATCGATTTGTAAAGAAATCATTTTCTTTTCATTTCCTCTCCTTTTGTGGTATTGTAAGAAAAGCATCTACATAAAATTTGAATTTAATGTATACATTGATAAGTATTAGATGAATTTGACGTATGACGTAGAGGAATTTGTGAAATTATTATCTTTAATTTATAGCAACAACAACCACTTAAATGAGAAATTAATCAACATATGAGCCGTGTCATGACAAAACCAACATAATGGGTTTGCGACCAGCATAAATCCAGACCAGCCTGCGCATCCGCGCAGTCTGATCAGATTCCATGCTGTTCGCTTACAGACCCTATAACAAGTAGAGAAACTGATAGCGAACAGCATGGATCCTGATCAGACTGCGCGGATGCGCAGGCTGGTCTGGATCCATGCTGGTCGCAAACGCACTATGTTGGTTTTGTCGTGACACGGCTCAATTATGTACCTTGAAATAAACAGTTGGCTGGTAACAGTGGTTTGATATTCATTGCATAACATTTCAGATCTTGCGATCTTAGCTATAAAAAATCTTCAGCCATTATGATCCACCTAGAAAGAGTTACACCGCCTTCCCAGAATTCAATTATGAGTTGTTTCCCTTTGTTTAAATAAAAGAAAGAGAAAGAGTGGCAAATTTGTGCAAAGAACGAGTATGTACTGGTATAATACTACATATCATACCCCACTGCTATCATTTTGCTTGCACACTATCATAGCAATAGCTCGTCTAAAAACACGTGTCTTCTTCGAATCTTTTTAAGGTATGCATCCACATCACACCTAAAGGGCTATTCACCAGGCACCAGTGCACGTTTGTAAGGTTTTGTGTGTATGTGGGGGGGGGGGGTGTAGACTCCTTAGTGGGACTAGTCTACCAGAAGTTTGGTTTAAACATATTCATTTAAGGTCCATTGCAAAACAAGTTCTTGCAACTAATATTAATCACTTGTGAGTCCGCTTCCTGGAACCATATAAAAAAAACCTTGATCGCGGCCCGATTAGGGCTCGAACACATGATCCCTGTTTTGAGAGGCAGACATCTTAACTACTAAGCCACAGCTTGACATAATTGAATAAAACATTATTGTATTTATCTATTTAACATTTTCCAAAACGGACCCCTGTCGATTTAGAGCTAAAGGTAATGTACGAGAGGTGCGTGACCACCCCCGCCCACCCCATCCAATATGTCGCGGCAAAGCAACGCCCCTGGAAACACATCTGATTTAAATATATAATTATAATCAAGTCTGGCTACCTCTTAGGCCAATATCAAAAGTCAAGACCAGTAAGTTTAATCGATTAAATTAAATAACAAATTTGGGCAAGCCTTTAATCAAGTACAGCGGTACAAAGGTTGTAACAAATAAACATTTTAAGTACATGTTATATTCAAATAGATTCTTTAATAAAGGACTATTAGAGATATCGTATAATAATGTACAAACATCGTTTTAATGAAAAAATTGAGTCGCGTCACGACAAAACCAACATAATGGGTTTGCGACCAGCATGGATCCAGACCAGCCTGCGCATCCGCGCATCTGATCAGGATCCATGCTGTTCGCTATCAGTTTCTCTACTTGTAATAGAGTAAAAGAACAGCATGGATCCTGATCAGAGCGCGGATGCAGGCTGGTCTGGATCCTGGTCGCAAACGCACTATGTTGGTTTTGTCGTGACGCGGCTCAAATGACGTTTGAAAGAAGAGTTGTAATTCAATGTCTATTGTGGGGAGTTGAAAACATAATGTATATATATCAGAGTTGATCATTGATCATTTTACATTACATTTAAACGTTAGAGATTTAATAATTATGTTTTTCAATTATTTATTTTTTTTACTGAAAAAAAGAAGAAAAAGATTCCATATCTTATAAAGTCCTTTGTTCATATAATGTCAGTATTAGAATAATATAGATGTGCAGCAATTCCAATAAAATTTTTATGGTGAATATCTTGTTAAAGGCATTTTTTAGACATCACGTGACCTGCTCATTTGCATATTCCGTTAAGCAGCATTTGGTAAACATTTTTCTTTTAACGTTTATTTTCTTCTTCTTTTTTTTCCTTCTAATTACATTCATAATCACTTTTCATTCTCGTCTTCTATACAGTATAGAAGGAAAAGGTGTCTGCATAATCAAACCTGCATAATTGTATAGTGATGCAAATGCGATTATTTTTAGACTGGAACTTGTCCCAGCTTAATAGAATTTAAGAAGTATTCGAGCTTTGTGGCAATTAACATAAGATTCATATTAAGGTTATTTTAGCTTCGGGGAAACCCATTGTTAATTAAATTGCCATGCCATGATCAAACATAAGTTATGATCAAATGTTGTTATTTTGCCTCGTTCATTTACTTTAGGAAACGGGTACGAAACGCCAGGGGAGGTTACTAGAGCTACACCGGAGCTTTACTTGGGCAAAATGAAAACAAAAAATCATTAAAATTTATATGAAACATAATATAACTCAATATTAATTATACAATGTTAGATATATCTATGATATGTCTCGATAACAAAAAGTTAATAACATGACTTTACGTAGCTAAACTGCCCCAGACATCACTTTTAAAAAGAATCAAAGTTCTGTGTGCACTGTCGCATTTGGTTAGGGGGTACATAATGTTTGTGCAAATGATCACTAAAATGTTAAGTTACGTACTCAAAGCTGTAACCATTTTATCAAATATGATAACGGATACTACAATATACTACATTATACTTTAAAAAAACAACCAATCATAATGAAAATTATGATTTCCATCTAGCGTAGAAGACTCATGATTGGTTTAATTTAAAATTATATATGACGTCATGATGACGTCAGATTACTCTTATTCTCATTTAAATTATGTGATAGTAGCAGCCATTTTTATTTTAATTTCAGGTCTATTTATAGTATATACGACCGATGCCATAAATAATTATACCACAACATCGAGTGTTTATCATGCACGACCTTTTCGCGTGCACGTATAAAACGACTGACGGACCAAGTAAAATGTTTATGGCGGTTTAACGAAACCAGTTTGCTATGTATTTGAAAGGCATATTAATTAATTAGATATTTGATCCTGAAACCATTCAATCATTCAAATATGATTTAAGTAGATATAAATGAAGTATAGTTAACAATAAAAAAATATCAAATGATTCGTATAACGTCAACATTATAACATATCAATGTCATTAACTGAGTCAGTGACTGTCAGCATATTGTTTTTTAATTTTTTCTCATCTTGATTGATCTTTTCAGTTAAACTTGGTTTAGAAATCTCTTTAGCAATAGTCTTTATTGTGCTCGATTTTTTAATTTCTTGTGGGGAAGTATCAATTGTCACAGACTTTTCCTTTTTTCCTATTTCAAGTTTTTCCGGTGTAGGTGGCGCCTCAGATCGCCCTGTTGGAGGATTCCGCACAGAGTTACTATTTTCCTTCGTCCATGCGGTTCTATTGCTTGGAAGTGGCGGTAACGATATCGTGTTCTCGCGCGTCGCTGGTGGATCATCGGCGCTGTGTGGACGACCTGGTGTTGGTGTCATCATGGACTCCATGCCTGAGTCAGCATTAGTTTGAAATGTGCGCATGCGTGACAGGCGTAGACCTAACTCGGAAGGAGGTTGAACTGGAATAACTGGTTGGTGTTCTTTCCAATACACAGCACGATCTTTAAGAAATTGTTGACCAAGACTTGCAAGACCTCGTGTTTCTACCGCAGCATTTGTTGGCAGTTCTAGCAAAAAATCATTTTTGTTTCATTGGAAAGTTGAGCTCAATTGACTATATATTTCAAAATTTTGAATGTAGTAATGATGATTGACCAACAGTAACTATTGATACTGGAAAATGTTCAGGACAAAAGGGCTTAAAATATAAAATGAATGTCCAATTGGTTGTCTAAATTTTACGTTAAAAGTAGATATCGATAGGTATTTACAGCACGAACATTATTAGTCGATTAAAACATTGAAAGGAATAAATGCAAAAAGTAAAAATATTTTGACTTTCTCAGTCTTTTCAGTCGCATAATATTACTTAAACAATGTCTCATATCGAAAGTCACACATGTATATTTAATAGAGTAGTTGGTATTGATTGCCTTTGAAGTTAAGTATTGTTATTAGCCTTTTTAAAAGAAAGATTGCTAAACGCTAAATTCATTCAATCCCATCGTTCTTTCAATAGTAACAAAATACTTACTTTCCGTTTCAATATAACGGTCGAAGTATTTCTTGTCTGTATACAGCTCTTCCAAGTACTTTCTCATCGCTTTATCGTCACCGGAAAATGGTCTCACAGAGTTTGGTGCAGTGCGCATGTTCAAATCGCTCATTTCCGTTGTTTCACGTATTGGAAGATTACCACTGCGTTCATATCGTGAACACCAATGAGACGCTTGATGCGAGTCTTTTGGTGGGTTGTTAATCTACAAACAGAAGATATATACATGTGTATATTTATTTTTACTTAAAAAAATGTTTACACCATATTGAACGTGTGTATATGTTCTTTTTGTTTAGCTGTATCATATTTAATTCATTTTTTAAGTGAATGGAGCGTAAGTACAAGGGAGGCTACTATAGAATAACAGTTGGGACTACATATTAACATGCCAACGGAAAAAGACAAATCAATACAATAGGTGCGACATTTGTTAAAATAATAAAAATATGATTAAATAAAAGAAAGTTTGTAAAAATAAGCATTATTATTAATATAACAAAGTGCGTATTTCTTGGACGAATTGATAAATGGACCGGCTATGGTTGAAATGTGATTGATTCATCGACAGAAACTACGTACCTTCTGCATGCTGCCGCCAACCAGTATAAATTCGTCGTCGGATCCAATGTTCTTCTTGCCTCGAGAAATTCCCTAAAGTAGAAAGTTATACGTGCATTTTTTTCTGTATATTTTTATATTGCAAAAAAGTATTGCATAGTATGATAAGTTTTAAAGGATAAAATGTGATTAACACATACATGATGTACATTAAAAAAGTATAGTCTCCTTTTTGTCTCAGTCGGAATGGAAAATATCTTATTCATCAGAAAAATAATGAAATTTTAACTTGTTATTGTTGATAGTAAAAAGGGATGACGTTGATTCAATCAAAACACTATGATTGTTACTGCTGGTCTCTCTCCCTCTGTTACCGTGTTCCGACGGACACCGTCGTAGACTGGCCTTAGTTTAAACAACATTTATTGCAATTTGTATAACATCAATTTATAATAGAAGCATATACAAACACACTGATAGATTTCGGGGATCGGAAAACAAGTTTGACCATGACGTTGTTGTCATTAATCGTTGTTTTACGAGTATTTGTAGTGAATATGAAACATCAGTAAGTACGGCGGTCACGACGTGGACCATCCTTGTAAGACTGATTTAAAAGCAAAAACTGCAATGGGCAAGTTGGTCTGTGTCTTTATATAGAGTTATTGCCTTCGCTAGTGTTATGAGAGCTCTTGTAATATATACTGTATGTCGTAACTTTAAAACTTTAGATTAAACCATGCTATGTTACATTACCTGCAAACCTTCTTCATTTTCTGGGATAAATGCTTGACTTATCCTCTCTCTCCCACTCCACGAAGCCCTTGTTTCTAAAAAGAAAGAAGCTAACGCATTAAAAAAGTAAATAAACGTTTCATATATAATAGATAATAGAATATAACCTATATTTTATTTGATTTAAACAAAAATATCAAAATAACCTGTATAACATTAATTAACCACATCATCATCATCATCATCATCATATTCTTCATCATCATCATTTTCATCTCATCTATCAATGTTTCATTGACACATGGGTATGAGAAAAGATGACATACATAGAGACGCTGGTTTTATTTTTACGTCCCTTGTTTGACACGATCATAATTTGCATCTGGGCATTTTTGCTCAATCCGTTAGTGCTTTATCATAATACTGTTGATGCCTTAAATAGAGAATGTTACTTAACGAAATATCTGTCTACGTACTTGAGTTACGGTGCATCCCTTTACCGTCACTGAAAGTGTCTGATCTAAGAACCATTCCTGATGACGTTGACTTGGGCTGGTTCCCCTGTCGCTCTATCTGCGAGTTGTTGATATATATAGACTCGGGTTTTACGCCACCTTTGGAACCAGCAAAGAAAACCTACAAACAAAAGCATCAATATTGACAAAACTGTCTTCGAATTTTCGAAAAGAAACCAACCTTTTCTTATTTAATACTTATGTAATTCGAATCAACTAAAAATAAACATATCTCTATCTTTTATTGAAAGATAGCTGTGTCGTCTGCATTTTGTTTTTATATTTTAATGAAAATACTAGTACATACTAGTAATACTTTGTACTTGTAACAAGAAGGTGTTTTTTACCGGTACAGTGACTTTGGCCTCCCTTTCTGGCTGCGACTCAAATAATCTATCCTTTAATTTGAGTCGTTCAGCTGATCCGATTTGTCTCCCCTTAAAATGAAAAAAACATAAAGACATTCAGATACCGGATGTTTTTTCTTCGGAATAGCTTTTTCCACCATCGAGACAAGAGCAAATGCACCTGCCGCTGGTCTTTAATAAACAGAACTGTGTCTGGTCACAAAAGCTATATAAAAAGTTTAAAAAACAACTTTTGTGATAAAACTGTGACTTACACTTTTTTGCAAGTGTAAGATCGAAATATTCCATATAGAAAACAAGTCTATCACGCACACATAAAATGTCTATAAAGATAAATTGGTGTTATATGATAACTGTTATAACACCGCACAATTGTAATGTTGCCTTTCATTTGAAAATCGTGACGTTTATATAGATTATATACACAGAAACCGTCAATTTATGGTCAGATTACTGTATTGTAACATGGCCTTCGATTGGCTGCAAAAAGTGCATTTTTCAATGGGACATCAGGTGATTGGATGAAAATGTAATGTTTGCAAGTATGAAAATGATTTTAGAAACTAACACTGCATTATTTTCTTAAGAAAAAAAAAAACTGTTTCACAATTCATAGGTGTCTAGGATAAGTTCTCATTTGGAAATTTGTATTTAAAACAGTATATGTCAGTCCTGTGATCAGCAGAAAACTTCAGTGCAAAGGGGGTTTATCATCTTTGGGGACATTTTGCGGTCGACCCTACATAACAAGATCATTTTAATGTGTCAGGCGTGTCATTCTTCAAGAAAATTTACATCTTTAGCATGAATATTCATTTTTTTAGGTTGGTTCAGTGGTCATTTCTTATATAACGTAAGTCTATGGGAAAATTAAAACAGTAGTCTGACCTTATAAAGAAATCTCATTGTTTTCTCTACTGCAAGGAAGTTGTATTGCGGTATTATAAATACGTTATAAAGATTTTTGACAGGTTATATGGTTGTTTGCAATATAACTCTCACCCAGCTGCTCGGGTTATATTTGCAATCAACCATTTATATAGGGTCATATAATCTGTCAGGAATCTTTATAACTAATGGTATAATGTTTTAATAATCTAATTATGTGACACACATACGACATACTTTAATCTGATTAGGATCTAGGTCATTTAATGGAGTAGCGCGAATACTTTGTCCATCTTGCATGCTAAAAGCAACTTGCTTTCCGGATCCTGGACGGTAAGTCTGGAAAAAAGAGGAAAATGAATATAATGGAGCGAAAAAATAAACATGAAAAAGAGCTTGACAAACCAGGATAAAACCTTTTAGAAGTATTTGAACTTCATTTTTCAAAAAAGAAAAATGAAAAAAAGCACTGTAACACCGCACTTTGGGGTCAAACGCACTTTGGGGTCCAATTTCGACCCCAAAGTGCGTTAAACAGGTACATATGCATTTTTCAACATCAGGCAAACGACCGCACTTTGGGGTCAGAGAAAATTTATGTTCATTATGTTTTAAATAATATAGTGTAGTCAAAGCCAATGGTAAACAAAAATCAAGGTATTAAATAGACACAAAACATGTGCCCTGAATCAATAGGGATTTAAATGGTCTTGATTAGTAAGTGAAGAACTTTCACAAAATAAATCACCAAAAAAAGAATTTGTATCAATGCAGCACGCCTCCAGATTCACGCTAATTTTCATGAAAATTTTGAAAATTTATTTGAATGTATAATATTGTGGAACAACCAAAAGGAAGCAATTTGCACATTATCAATGGCACTTATAACTTACGTAAATTACCAAAAAGTTAAAATATGCATAAATAGCCCTTAATGCGTTAGTAACGCAGTAGGAATATAGTTGTAAATATTGAAAACTCAGTCATTGACCGCACATAATATGTAAAATATTACTTGAATCTTGAATCATTTTACATTTCCTATAATCGTAGTACATATTTCTCAAGTTTGATTTTATTGAAATATTTTGACTCATCTGGAGGCATGCAGCTTTAAGCTTAAAATATGTTTTTCTAAAATTTTCCATTTATTTTAAATTATTTTATGCTTTCCAGTGTTTTATTACAATATATCAGATGATTATATTCTGATAAACCACTAGTGAAATTTATAAAATATAATTTTCACTGTAGCCGGACTATATCTGAATGCGGATGAAAAGAAAATCATAACCAAATGGAATAACAGGCAGAAATAAATGCCGTCATACGTAAATTTGCTTATCTAGAAAAAGAAAATCAAAATCATCATTTATCATGTTAAAAATTTAACAAAATTAGAGTAATTTAACAGAACTATATTTCAAAACTTATGATGTGACGTCATGATATAATGACGTCACAAAGGAAAATGCGCGACGTTACGCGGCAAAATCAGTAAAAAAATACTTAAAATCACTTAAAAGCATAAAATAAAAAGAAAATTTATTTGTTTTACATATAAGATTGAAATATATTTCATTCGTGAACACCAGCTATTATATTTTCACTCGTGGCTACGCCACTCGTGAAAATATTGCATCTGGTGTTCACTCAGTGAAATTATATTTCAATCTTACATGCAAAACAAACAAATATCCTCTATAGAATGTACACCTTTCATTAACTCCATTGTTTTTAGCTAAATGCATCATTTTCCCGTTATTAGAGCGAGCTTCAGAATAATGTAAAATTCTCACTGGGGGTATAGAGGGGATTGTGGGGTATCGATCTCCCCGAGGTTTAAAAATAACATTTTAAAGGCCCATTATGCTTTTATTTGTTTTTCTTCAGCTTTTTTATTTTGATGTTCTTTTATATTATCAAAAAAATACACATTGGCCAATTACCTGATCTGTTGCTTTTTGACAATGATGAGTACAGTACTGTTATAGTGATAAGTAGTTTACATGTTTTATATGGAAGTCAAATACTACATTGTTTTGACTACTTTTATGACAAATAATTTCACATTTATCGCTACTTTATTCAGGTAACAAGCATCTTACATTCTCTGATACCATTATTTTATCATTATAAAATTCATCTTTCTAAAGAAGTATGTAAGATTTCCCATTAAAAAAGCATCTGGCGAACGGTTGTTACGGAGGGGAAAAAAATATTAACTGCATTTTATTTCATTCCTTACATATTTAAAATGGAGCTCAACATGGCACCAAAAGTTATCAAGTAAATGACTGACAGAACGGGATATTTTTCGCAGCATCTTTAAACTTTAGGAATACACGATTTCTGTACTAAAATATTTTGAACGGTGGCAAAAAAGTGACATTTGCAACTTTTTTTTTTTTTTTTGATTCTTTTTTTTTTTTTTCGTACATATTTTTTGTTGTTTTTTTTTTGTTTGTCATACATTTTTTTTTAGTTTTTAATACATACTTTTTTTAGTTTTTAATACATATTCTTTTTAAGTTTTGCATACATATTCTTTTTAAGTTTTGCATACATATTTTATTTTAGTTTTGCATACATATTTTATTTGAGTTTTTGGTACATATTTTATTTTTGTTTTGTTTTTTACTTTTTTTCGTACATAATTTTACATGACGCCATTTGCAAAGTAGAGGTTTGGATAATTACGCTATTTGTAAAACACCATTTTCAAACACTTCGCCATCTGTAAATTACAGTACCCCATTTGCAAACGCCATTTGCAAATACCAACATTTTCATTTTTTGAGGTATCAAAAAGATAATAACACTTTTTAGTATATATATATACAGAGACATAGATATTATCTATGTCTCTGATATATACATGTACATGTATATACATGTATATATATATTTTTTTCTAAATCAGTGGAATATAAGGACCTATTTAGATCTTTTATTGTGCATTATTGTAATACACCAGTCATTTGTAACCATCTCCCTTGCCCCCGGGGGAGTGTGGGTTAAAAAAGAATCGTGTGATGTCTGCGCTGTTCCGGGGCATAAGGCAGGAATGTTATTATCTGAATATGCCCCGCAGGGCGAAGATTTTACCAGTGGTCGGCTTGGTTTTAAGTCAATGCCCCTCCCCCCGCTATACTCAGGCGGTGGGGTTGAGTGGTGCATATTCATTCACCAATCAACAGCCCTTTCCAAATAGACACTAATATAATAGTAGATAATAATTAAAAAAAAATACACTAATTATATTAAATACATATGATTTAAAAAATGGGCCGAAAAAGGTCGGCCGAAACCAGACTTGCGCGGCCAAAAACGACTGGGCCGATTCCAAAAAATGGGCCGAAATGTGACCAAACTACTGTGCTAGTTTTATACTCAACTATGGGCTGTTATGAGATGTGAAGGCTGTTTTGATTGGCTAAAATATGTACGAAAAACCAAAAAAAATTGTACGAAAAACTTTAATAAAATATGAATGCAAAGCTCAAAAAAAAATATGAATGCAAAACTGAAAAAAATATGTATGCAAAACTTAAATAAAAATATGTATGCAAAACTTAAATAAAAATAAATGCAAATGTCACTTTTATTCCACCGTAATTTTGTTATATGAACAAATTATTATTATTGTTGGATATTTTAAGTGGTAAAATTAATGAAACTTTTATCACTTAAGCATCATCAAAGTATTGACCGCCATCTTGAACTCCACCTCAAATATTTCAATGTCGAAGATCGAAAATAAGTCAGTTCTCAGTATTTAAGCAGAACTCAGATTACACCTTTAGACCTCTGGAACCCAAAGTGCGTTGATATGTAGCATATTAACGCACTTTGGGGTCAATTTCTCGATTTTGACCCCAAAGTGCGTTTGACCCCAAAGTGCGGTGCGAAGTTTAACGCACTTTGGGGTCGGACCCCAAAGTGCGTTTGACCCCAAAGTGCGGTGTTACAAAGCACAACATTTTTTGTGGAAATATCCAAATAAATGAAAAGAAAAGAAATAATATGGTAAAAAGTGAATCTCCTTTTGTCATCATTTTAATATTAGTATCATAATAATCATTATTATTATCATTATTGCATTATAATTGTTGTGGTTTAATATTATCAACATCATCATTATTATTAACATAACCATCAACAACATTAACGTAACAACAAGCAACATCATCATCATCATCAATCTAACCACAACCACCACCATCACCACCACCATCATAATCAGCATTATCACCATCATGATCATCACAGTCACAATCACCATCACCATCATCACAATCACCATCATCATCATCATCATCATCACCACCACCATCATAATCAGCATTATCACAATCATGATCATCACTATCATCATCACCATCATCACAATCACCATCATCATCATCATCATCACCACCACCATCGTAATCAGCATTATCACCATCATGATCATCACCATCATCATCATCACCATCATCACAATCACCATCATCATCATCATCATAATCATAATCAGCATTATCACCATCATGATCATCACTATCACTATCATCATCACCATCATCACAATCACCATCATCATCATCATCAGCAGCATTATCATCATCATGATCATCACTATCACTATCATCATCACCATCATCACAATCACCATCATCATCATAATCAGCATTATCACCATCATGATCATCACTATCACTATCATCATCATCATAATCATCATCAACATCATTATCATCATCAATATAACCACAACCAACATCATCACCATCACCCTCATCATCACAATCAACATCATCATTATCAAAATAACTACAACCAACACCATTATAATAATCATCATCATAATCACAACCACCGTCATCATAATCATGACAAACATCATTGTTATTGTTATAAATTAGTATCATTATTACGTCAGCTTTCTTTTGTTCTTCTTCCTCCTCATTATTGGCTGGACCATAATCCCATTCTGCTGTTGGACCAAATTCGTCATCTTTATATCCCTGTTATAAGAGAAACACATGTAACTTTTTATATAAAGATTGATGAGCCCCCCAAACACTCAAAAATTGAAAACTTCTTTAATTTATAATATTAAAAACATTTTACATGATCACCCATATGGTTTGACTCCGGCGGCGAGAGTAAAAAAAATGCAAATTGCATTATAACTTGGTGCTTTGTAGCCATGTCTTAAAGGCCCATTATGCCTTAGAATTCTTTTACTTTTTATTTATTAAAATCTTGTTGGTGTACTTCAATAGTGACCGAAAAGTTAAAAGTTAAAATTAAAAAAAAATGTTTCTGAGGCATAATGTACCATATTGTGTCATATATTTCACTTGGTAATAGAATTACTCTGCAGCTGAATGTCGAATAAAGCTGAATTGTTTTAAGTTCATGTAAAGACTTACACCAAGAGGGCGCCCATCAGAATCCCGTATCAACCTTGGTAAACTGAAGACGTGCGCGAATCTTCTCCGCTTTTCTAACAGTTTTGCAAACACTTCTTTAGGAATTTTCTTGCCATCGCTGTCGCGCTAAAATATATGTGTTTTTTTTAAATAGATATATAAGTAATTGAAATCACCTTCATCTTGAGACTATTGTCTGTATGTGATTATAAATTATATTGTTTTTAACATGCAAAACTAAGAATATACCTTCATACATATTTTCTAAAAATTATAGAGTTTTTATAAAAGTTATATAATTATTTATAATTTACAATCTATAGCATCGTTCATTAGTAATAATGCTTGGTAAAGAATTCATTTCCAAATCGGCCATTTCTAATGATCCTTGGAAATATGTTTTTATAAGATCCAGTATAATATATTGCATAAATGCCGTGTAAATGTGAGAACATAAATGAGCCGTGTCACGACAAAACCAACATAATGGGTTTGCGACCAGCATGGATCCAGACCAGCCTGCGCATCCGCGCAGTCTGATCAGGATCCATGCTGTTCGCTATCAGTTTCCGTACTTGTTATAGGGTTTGTAGGCGAACAGCATGGATCCTGATCAGACTGCGCGGATGCGCAGGCTGGTCTGGACCCATGCTGGTCGCAAACCCATTATGTTGGTTTTGTCGTGACACGGCTCAAATATGAGAATACGTTTCAAACTAAATTTAATGTAATAAACAAATTGATAAAAGGTCCTGTTTTACAACCTACGACTACTTTATTGTAAAAAAAATCTAACCACAATATTTCCTTCCTCGTCAAAGTGGTATGCTTCGGGCAGTTCGCCACCACGGCCAAGTTTGAATCCTTTAAAACCATGTGCTGCCCAAACGTCCGCCTCCTCGTCCATGATCTGTTTCAAACGTGACTCTGACCCCTCTCTTGTGTCATCTGCCGGTGCCTGGGAGGTTTCAACAGGAGCGACTTGTATAGCATGCTTTGTATTTCCATCTACATCCGTCTATGAAATACAAGAAGAAATAAATCAATAGAAACTCAGATAATATTACTTACTAATATTTGGAACTATGAAGAAAAGTTCTAAAAGAAAAAATATTTACAAAATAATTCGCATATATAATTGTTTAATTCTGATCTTTATCACATACCGTGCCGATTTTGCGACTGCGTAAAATGGTATTGCACGGCCGTGCATATATTTTGACGTGACGTCATTTGCACTTTACAAACATACGATAAAGACGCGCTAAATGTTAGCGTTGCGTTATAGGCGCGTTAGTATTTATATAAAATTATTCTTTTGCACTTTAAACAATATTTATTTTAGGTATGTGATAAATAGAACACTGAATTCGTGTAATTCATTACTGAATTTATTGATCGAGTTGAATAAAATTATATTAAGCCAGCCACAAAACCTATTGAACTCGTTGAATAAAATAATATTGTGCTCTCCAGAGGCTCGCATATAATCTTATTGAACTCGTTCAATACTAGTAAATTCAGTATTGGATCTACACTAATTCAATACCTTCTATTAAAGATACCGGTGCATGAGTGACATAAGAATTGATATAGTTACCTCTCCCTCGTCGGATATGACAGTAGGCTGTACTCTTTCATGCCAGAAATCTTGATCATCTAATTCTCTCTCTAGACCTTTTTTAGTATGATATTGTACAGTAAACGGGGCTTCATTTATACGTGGATCACCTTTCTTTCGTCTCTTGGCTCGTCTTTTTGTACCACTGGCTTCGGCGTCCGTATCAGTATCCGAAGATTCTATATCGCTTGGGCTTCTTAATTTTTTCTTTGCCATTTTCTTTATTGCCTTTTTGCGCTGACGACGTTTTGAATCAATCAGTTCTTGTTGTTCCCGTGTCGTCAGTGTTTTAGTTAAATCGTGTCCATCTTCTCCCTTCATTTGACAAAAAAATATCATCAATAACAACAACAATAACAAGAAGAAGAAGAAGGAAAAACAATAACAACAAAAAACAACAACAGCACTAGATCGGTGACTGTCTATTTCATTAAGCAAAACTGGTAGAAATGTGCTTTTCTGTATTGCAATGCCTTTGACTACGATACCATTTTGTTTTCTGTTATAAGTAAGTAAGATAGCCTTCTCAAAGTATTTACATACCTCTTTCAAGTTCCTGCGTTTTTTCTTTCCTACGACTTTGGCATCTTGCAAACCGTCGGGAGGTTCATAAACAGCATTAGCCAATCGCTTACGCTAAAACATTACAAATCAAAACTTTAAAGGCCCATAATGATTGAAAAATGCTATCATTTTTATTTCTTAGAAGTTTTGGTATCTTGTTATAGTCTCCAAAAAATACTCATTTGTTATATAAATATCTATCTTGTGCATCTTAAGTTGTGTTGGCAATTGATATAATTATAGTGAATAAGCATTTTATATGGAAATCAAAATACTACTTTTTTTACATATCTTAAAGACACATAACTATATGTTAAGGGCTACTTTTTTCAGGTGCATAACATCTAACATGTACTTAATCCTTTATTTAAACATTATTAAAACATGTTTAATACTTCTAAATAATTAAAAAATAATGGATTTCTGAGGCATAACGTGCCTTTAAAAATGTCTGAAAATCTTAAATGTTAACTTGTGTTTTTATTACTATAGTAATTTCATATATACGTTATAAAAACCCTTACTCCTCGCAGTAATTACCTCCCTTGGTAAATTGTACTTATAAGGGGAGATCACTGCGTAGAAGATTGATAAAAACTGTGTACTGTTGTGATTATATTGCCACCAAACCAGTACAATCTTTGCACAGCAACACCCTTCGGCAGGCAAAGATTTTGGTTGTTATTAAAAGCAGTGTTACTGCAAGGATAATTATTACTGTTGTTGTTAACAGGGTATTTCTTTACAGAACGTCGCTATGCAGAGGTTACATTGTTTAATTCGAATGTAGAATTGCATTTATCAGGTATAATTAAGGAATTTGTAGCTTTAACTTGATGCTTGGAAGACACGCTGAGACAGAAAGAGGTTATCAGAAGACATTATCTCCAAGATTACCATTCAGACTAATGTAGATGTACTGAACTTACCTTTTCAAAAAGTTTCTTGGCACGTTCTTCCTTTTCAGATTCGTCTGTCTAAAAACAAGCAAATCAAATGTAACTTATGAATAAATATGAAACTATAAGCAACACACCAATTAAATATAACCTCCTGTCCGGGTAAGGGAGGTATGGGCCGGGGTAAACAATTTACTGGTGCAGACCTAAATGATGTCTTGTTTTAATAAAAATATGATCATCTTAAAATCTTCCGATGATTTTTTTTTCAAAGAACACTTTCTAATTATCCAAGAAACTCGCTCGTTATATACCATATAAAAGATTTAAAAATATGTGCAAGAAATTTGACTTCTTTTATAACTATTTCATTACTTATAGATTCTTATCTACTACCAATATATGTTTAGTTTTACTGATATTTATATATGTTTTGTTTTACTGATATTTATTGATATATACATTTACCTCATACGCATCACTGGACGACGAATTCCTCACATTCTTTATAACCTGAAAAATAGTTTATTGTACATTATTAAAACTTTTGTCCCTCAATGATACTGCATTGTACATTAGATGTCTTGTTTTCTCCCCTGAAAAGTAGCAAATATTACTTGAAATTTACCGACCCCCTCCCCTCCCCAATCGCCAAACTTGGAAAAAAGAACAGTTTACAAAATTTCCTTAGATAAAATTTACGTAACCTTCAATGAAAAGGAGTGTAACTGAAATATGACTCTATTTCCCCTGTCGTTCTATTCCTTTATTCACATGGAAAAGTTCAATATAAGACATTTTCACAAGGGTATAACTATTCAAATAAAACATGGCACGTAGCTATTGAAACAAGTTGATCGACATTGGATTTTTAATTCTTGAATTCTACAAGAATATATTTTATTTCACACCTTATAAAAAAATAGCCAATAAACTTCAAGCGTTGACACATATGAAGTTCCAATACAAAATCATCATTGGATCCAATCTTATAAATTTAGCCTCGTTTCCATTTCCAGCGTCCAAATATGTTCACATGCGTATTGTACTCTCATATAGCCTCGCTTTTATTAGTTTGAGAGTCCCAAATGTATATCGCACTGCATCTAGCCTCTTTTTCATTATCAAGCGCCTCGTCCAATATAGGGTTTTCAGCTTTGTACTCATCCAATAGAATTCAGTACTTTTATTCAACGATGTATTATTACCGCATATAACCTATCTGTAGCCCTTTATCAACAATGGCAGTTAATATGTACACTTTTACTCACCTTACTAATTTCTCGCTCAAGTTGCGGCATATCGTCGTCTGCTTTCTTGTCTCTTGTTGATTCCTTCATCCTTTGTTCCTTCTTCTGTTTCTCAATTCTTTCTTTTTCTTTGCGCTCTCTTTCTTTCTTTATTCTTAACAAAGCCTGAAAAATCGACGAGTACTCTTGTTAAAGAAATATTCAGGCTTTGAATAAAGTTCACAGTTAATATTATGTTTGTGACGTACCAAAATATACACTGCTTGCTGCTTTATAACAGATAGGGTTTTTAACTTATGAATAGTAAAAATAAGAATTAAACTGCAAATTCTTAAAATTCCCTTTAATATATCAACTTTTCGGCTGAACAGTCTCCTTCATGGTACATATATAAATAATAAGCAATAAACAGGAAAATTATGTCAGCGTCACATGACGTCAAAAGCGACGACGACAAAATCTATCAAAGAGTTTGACGTAATAATCATAGACAGGATCAATTTAAATTTAACTTATGAAATGATTACGTATGTTTCTTATGATTGAAAGTTCCTGACAATAGCAACCGGCAATCTCCGTACTATTACGTATTGCTTGTGAGTAATTTCGGTTATTTCCGGTATCCACTGGAAACCCATAATTGTGCTGATAATCGAAGAGATCGAAGAGAACAATATGCAGGACAAAATCGGTTGCAATAATTGCCATATTGTTGCTAAAACTTATACAAGGATTTTATCAAAATTTAAGCATTGACCTAATGAAGTAATGAAAGTAAATAATAAACAACAAGGTGTTGATTATGACAATGTATCAAATATCTAAATAGAACATGACTTAAATAAAAGTCAAAATATTTACCATGTCGTCGGCATCAGGTTTTGGAGTGGTGGGCGGTATTGGCTTTTTCCCGGGAGGGAATTCGATTGGTGGCTGTTTTTTCGTTGGGGGTAATTCGTTTTGTGGAGTCTTTTTACCCGATGGTACATCTTTTTCCTGAGTTTTTTTACCTTTTGAAATCTCTTTCAGAGGATGTACTGGTTCACCTTGTTTAGAAGCCACGACATCTTTATCCTTGAATTAAACAATTATAATCATTATTTTGATTAGGTTAATATAGAAAAAAATGACTACTAGTGTTATTTCGTAAGTTAACCATCACGATAGAGAAATGAAGTAAAAAAACACAATCAGACGATTTGCCGAATACAGGGGGCAATATTTTCGAATTTTATAATAATAATACTTTTTTGTGTATTTCACACTTTTAAAATG